CAGTTTTCCTTCACGAGTCCAAACTCAGTTACCATTGAAGAAGTATCAAAACACTTGCACAAGAAAAAAAAAAGAAACAAGTTTCTCTCTCCTTTGCTCTCTTTAGAGAGTTGCTAGTTGCTGAATATCATAAGGATGAGCATCAGAAGCAGCTTCTCGCTTAAAAGACCTTCTTCCGATAACGATATTCGCAGCTTCACCGGGATGAAACGCATCCCAAAACACATACTCATTCCTATTCAAACATGGAGCTTGACCTGGAAGACAAGTTATCTGTCCATTGTTTCTTCCAACTCCACAACATCCCGCATTTGTCACAGTAAACCCTACAAAATCACAACCTTTTTAGTAAACTAATCATAACAATATACCGTCTTCTTCGATCACAAATTTGAAGGAAGCTGAATGTTTTACCGTAGCGAGCAGGGTTTGTAACAATGTCTTGGAAGATGCCATATGCGTTGATGTAAGTGAATTTAGCGTCTGGTGTGTTTTGGTTAAACTGGTCGACTATAGATATGAGTTTGTTGTTGAAGATTCTGTTTGCTGAATTGATTCTTTCGTCGCACGTTCTCCCATCTCTACTGTTCTGAGCTAGCTCGTTCGGGCTGCATCCGATTGCACCGACTCCGATTAACGCAAACTTCCTCGCTCCATTGTTATACAATATCTGTTACATTACAAAACACACATCAAAAACCTTCATTCTCACTCATAGAAGAAGAACCTAAAACAGAGGAGGACTATAGAAACAGAGTATTATTGAAGAACCAGAGGATGTAGAACTTAAAGAGAGTGTACTGACTGACCTTGAGTTGTTCGGTGTATCGAGCGATGAGATCGTCGGCAAAAGAATCCGGGGTAAATTGGTTACCGGTAGAGTAAAATGTGGGCATGAAGTAGTTGTTAAGATAATCGTTACTGCCTAATCCGATGGAGTAAATGCATTTGCTTAGGTAACTCGAGGCTTGGTTTTGATCACCAAGTATGTTCACTACTTGTGATACAGTGTTCACGTGATTAGCTACTTGACCTGCAAATGCTATTCTACCTCCCTGACAAAACAAAAACAAAACAAAAACTCTAAGAACGAGATGTTTCACACAAGAAACACACACAAATCTTGCATAGAAACTTAAGGATTGACATATAGATAACCTAATGCTCATATCTTGGAATGAGATAGTAAGAAAGTTACCAATTGTCTGCCCGTTTCTTCGCGGATACCGGCAGCAGCGGAAGCGTAGTTAAGTCCAAGGAGAATGTCTTCTCCTCTTGCGGAGGCGTACGGTGTAATGAAATTGTCGAAACCCAAAAGCTTAGCTTAAGATTACATCAAAGAAACAGAGCAAATTAGTTTATGTTGTTGTTAGAGGGAAAACTAAAAACAGAGGAAAAGCACGTAGTGAAGTTAGAGACTTACTGATAACATCGACGGTGGTTAAGCCATTGCTAAACCGACCGGTTGGACCGAGAGAGAAATCAATACCGTAAGGAAAGTAGTTAGCTCTAGCTAAAGAATTTAGCTGATTATTGTTACCATTATCAACCAAAGAATCACCAAATATGAAGTAACATGGTGCAATTGGATCACTTGTAACAATGTTCATGGTCATAGCAAC